AATATTTTTGTTGTAGGTTTTTATCTAATATCATGCCGAAAAATTCTTGTGAAAATGTACGATTTAATCTTGTATGAATACCCCACAGGCCAGCTACAATGCAACAAAGCAAGCACTTTCGAACATTAGTCTGTATTGAATATACAGACGCTTGTTCAAGTATGAGTAGAAAAACGCTTGATAATGTTATAAAAGAAAAGATTGATTCACAAAGACATAGCATTCATCTCGGTCATTATTTTTAAAGTCAATCTTATATATTTCATGAAAAAACAAAACCTTCTATATTTAGGCAAATGAACTACTTAACGGACGATCATAACATAGAATGACTAGCATTCAATGCGTACAATCTATCTTACCTAACATAGGCATAGTATGATGAGGATGATCCCTCATAATATGAACTAATTTGTTACTTTGTAACCATTGATTAACAGCATCTAATTCTCGTTGTAATAATGGAGAATCCAAATCTCTACTGAGGACAATGTCAACAAGTAGATCACCAACGGGTAAAAAGCGCCAAAGTTTTGGTGCCATTTTCGAACTTAGATCACCATAAACTGGTATTCTAGTTGTATCACAAAAATCAACATTTCGGTGTTGACATTCAAATGACTCGACTATCGCTGAATTAAACATTGTTGAGTCATGGTATATTCTTAGTAACCATTTGGGATAGATTTTATACATATCCTGAATTAATTCTTCAACAAATTTCAATGTGCGGTTAAATGTAAATAAACCATTTTCTTTAGCACCATCAAAGATATTGATCGCCACAATCTTTTGGTTAAATCCGCGTCGATCTGAATAATGGCTGCATGTCGAATGTTGCTCCTGATTCGATGATGATGAGTTTGATCTTGGATATAAACAGATTCTATGTTCTCTTCGTGTTGTTCTGTTCCAACGGAGATAAAATACGAGAAAACTTAGAAATAGTATACATGGAATATAGACAATCGACCTCTTTTTCAAATGGATCACACATGACATCTAAAGAACAGCAATAACTTTTTTAAGGAGATAGATTTACTCTGTCGTCAGATGCCATGCTGCCTTAAATAAAAAGTAGAGTGATTTAAAAGCGAACAGAAGGGACGCGGGCACGTAAACCATGTTTTATTGTTAAACATTTGTTCAGAATAAGCTATACGAATAGACGAAGTTCGCTATGAGCAGCAAAACTGTTTTGTTGTTGTAGATAAATCTTGTTTTACTTCATGTCTGTGGTACTCCTCACAATTTCACAGCGAAGTTTTTCTCTCTAATTGTTTCAGAACATATTTATTAGACAGATACAGCTTCCTCGGCTAATCCTGAGTATCACGCTGCTACTTGCAAGAAAAGTTATTACCATAGATACAAATTTCTTTTATTATAAGTGTCATTTCACCCAGAACAGTCAGGAAATGCACTGACGTTAACATGGCTTCAGTGATAAAAGGTGTTATTTAAACTGAAAACTACTTGTTCTTGCAAGTGGCAATCACAAACAAAGTTGACAGACATTCTTTTTCGACGAAAAAGTTCTAAAATTCGTAAAAATGTAGTATTATCCATTTCAAATTAAAAGACAGGTAGCTGTTTTTGAATAACTAGAGACCAAGCAGCGGTCGAAACTTGCAGCTTTTGCTGTTCGATAGCCAAGAATTTGTAGTATCGTTTCACCGGTAAAGTTTGGTTAAAGAAAGCGCTTTTGTAGAGTATCTTTGGAAAACTGACTCCTAGCTGAAAAAGAAACTCAACAGAAATTTAATGATTCTTTTATGAACAGATAGCTCGAAGATTCCTATTCAAAATGGAAACTTAGCGGCCTCTTCATCGTTCGTGGTTTATCGACAAAAACCAGGATAAACATTTCTTTATACGTAGTGATCTCAGAAATGAATGGAAGCATAGATAATCGACTACATTGAGTCTCGTGCAAATGTTGGCTTTCGAAAAAAACGTCTTGTGGAACATACTAGGTGAAACATCCTGTTTCTGCCTATTTTCGCGTAAAGTTAGAAAACTCATAACTGAATCAGAATCGATGCAAACCTCGTTAGAATTGCAAAACGTACTGTACCTTATCTCGCAATCTGTTTCTGTGCCTAGGATTAGTAAAGGACACTACCGACGACTTCTAGAAGCTTTGCCAGCTATTGGATTTTAGAAGTTCTATTGAGGTGCATCTTATACTTTTATTTTCTTTCACTTATAAGTTTTCTACTTTTACGTGAAAATAGACAAAAACAGGATATTCCATCCAATAGGTTTTCACTAGGTTTCTGAATTTTCTCGAACTGCGAGCGTTTCCACTAGACTTAGTGTGCTGGATTACTCACGTTTCCATGACTTCATGTTATAGTCGTGCTCGTAACGAGATGAGAACGGCCTATAGCCCTTTAAAGCAAATAGTAGCTTTCAGACTCATAAGGAATTTAAACAAATGTTATTTAGTCCCTCGTGTCTTATCCTGACTTTATGCGTTTTCAAACCTGCTGCTTGATGACAAAGAAGTGGGACAGACCTAGATAACTTAATGTTTTCTAAATATCTGAGAAGTCAGAAGCCAATTTTCAGGCAAACTCGTATTCCAAAACCATACCATCCTCGTCGTTGAACCTTAGCATCTCCGATTGCAGTGGCATGTTTTTACGTCAAGTGCATGGATACTTGCAAATATTCTCTCATTGGTGATCAAAATCAAAAAGGAACTGAAACGAAAGTTTTGAACTGAAACGAAAGTTTTGAACTTAAACTCTCCAAAGTAAAATACAACGAAATTCATAATTCTCTCTCAACGCTTTACAGTATCTAATTTATATTGTAAGTGTCCGTATAATGCTGGAAAGTCACGTGGACGATCTATGTTTCAAATAAAACTGTCTGGAATAACTGAAGATCTACTGGTTTACATATTCATTTATTATTCATGGTAGATAATCAATTGGCGGTGCTTGCAAAGATTTTCCATTGTGATTAATGCGTACTTTGGAATCATAAGTTCGAACATTACTCGTATGTAAATGATAAGCTTTGATTATTCTACATGGATTATATACAGTTAAATTCAATAATCTATTCATTTCATACAAAAATCGATTTTCACCACTATGAGAAACAATGACAGACGATAAATAAAACCTTTGCTATATACATCCCATACTTACCCTAGTACTCCACCAATATCGATATCGGTTGCATTCAATATTCGTTCAAAGTTCTCACCAATAATCGGTGGATGAATAATATATGTATCATAACTACCCCAATGTTTATGAATACCGAAACATCTTACGTCTGTTTGGTTACCGTCAATAGATGTTTCAATAACGCTTAATGCAATTACTTTTTGTTCCATATGTGTTATGTTCCGTAATAAACGAAGTGTATGGTCAAAATAAATATCCCCGTTACAGAGAACAACAATTAAGCCTTAAAGAAACCAGTCCATGTAGGCAGAGATATGTGGCGAGAATGGCTGTGTATACCTCGAAGACGATACTGGATAAATTTTAAAGCGATATTGAATTTCAGGCGACGACCGATAAACCAACAATAGATACAAGTATGCTTCTGAAATTCGGTAAAAAGATCAACTTATGATAAAGAGCGTTTGATGGGAAAAGAGATGACATTGTTTATCCGTCAAGCCGCTACTCTGTGAAATAATCACAACAAGGAGAAGAAAAGCGAGAACAAAGTTGACGGTTTTTACAGAGCTACTGCATTTTATTATCAGTGGGAATGGTCGCTGAGAAGTGATGCTCTCTATCTTTGGACATTTTCCCATATGTCTAATAACGTCCGATAATTGCAATGTTATTCACGGAAGACAAAAGTCACCGTTATGCAGTATTAGTGGGGAATACAAAATCACTGTATGAGCAGTAGGATGGGACAACTCTAGTTCCTATAGTTCATAAGAACTAGCTCGTCACCCTTTCTCGTCTCAAGGCAAAACTGATCATCATTTCTTCTAAAATTCTTTAGTAAAAAACCAGCAAGCAAAATATATGTACTCTGACGAAACAGAACCAATATGCCTAGGTTGTGCCATTCTTTTTACATGGAATTTTTGAATAGAATGATGATCACTTCTCGTTCTAAAGGACGAAACTGAAACTGTCTCACCCTTAGTGACTAGCGATAAGGAACTCGTAGTGGCAATAGAATCAATGTTGTTCACGTGTGAGACTACTTTCTCTTTGAGTACGTACATCTGTGTGGTGATTATTCTGGCGTTTCCAATGCGTCGCTCCTCCTGACGGCGCGCTTTGCTCATGGCTTTTAACGCCTAAAGCTGGTCAAAAACTCCGGTCTGTCTCAAGGTGAGAATATTCCATGATGATGTACAGTTTTGTGAAGAAGAAAACCGTTTCATGCTTTAAGGATACCCCTCCGCTGATGTTGGGCTTTCCGAAATAAAAATTAAAAGTCAGTAAGGCTTCATATTTTCAGAACGGATTCGAAACTCAATGTAGCACTTTTTCGTTTTCGTGTCACGTTTTTAACTATCGCCGTTCATCAGTATTCCAGAAAACTCGGTTTTTCCTTGTGCCACATTATGATCCCCTTAAATTTCATCCGATCGAGTTAAGGATTTTATTAGAAGTATTGAAGGTCATAGCATAGAGATTTAATTTTGTAATTTTATTTTAGAGCTTTCTTTAGCGAGTTGTAGGGAAAATACCGGAAAACTTTCAAAAACCAAGAACTCGATCGGATGAACTTTAAGGGTGGTCGTAATGTGGTTCAATGACGCCCGGTAGCAAAAAAATAGTTTTTGAGAAAAACGCACTTTGTACACAGGTCACTTTTTCCTGAGCATTTGTCGCGATGCTTATATCTCCGCGAAAACTCATCGGAAGATTCTGTAAACTGTCTCATTGTGAAGAAAACACTTTCTTCTGTCAGACTATCTGTAAGGAAACTTTTGAATGTACAGGAAAGGAGAGAAAAGTTTATAAAACTAAAAAATCGACTTTCTGCAGATTTTGAAGGAAAAACTTGAAACAAAAATGCATAACTATTTGAAAAAAGATCATGGGTTATTGGAGGTGGCCTCATTCTATAGCTAATACTTTCCTCTACATTAGGCTGTCCAATGTTTACCGGTTCACTTGGGCGGTGTACCATGAAGAGAAAAACAATTCATCAATACTTGCATATTTTCTAATTATTGTTAATGGGCAGTCATTATAATTCTCTAACAATAAATGAACACAATTAATTTCCATATTAGTTAAATGTTTTTCTAATGTCAAATTCA